TCACCAATCATTGCTTCATACAACAATTAAGATGTTTTTTGTTTCAATGGTTTTGCATAAAGGGCTCTTCAAAACACGCAGCGATAATTTTAATCCTCTTCAGGTCGTAAGCCGTTATCATTGGCGTGCCACAGACAGCCTTTTTAACATTAGATTAATTTGTTTTATTTTGTTCACAGTTTGTGCTCTGTTGCTGGCAAAACAGTCCTTCAGGGTGTCTATGTATTGGATAGCTACAAGATTTCATTAGGATTGCAATGAAAATGCGGAAGAATAACTGCCACTGGAGGAGAGGAAGCGATGTAAATACTTTGCACATAATCTTTATGGAAAAGATCAAAATCTGTGTGTGTGTGTGTGTGTGTGTGTGTGTGTGTGTGTGTGTGTGTGTGTGTGTGTTTATGACAGGTTTGATTGTCTGTGCCTTCAAATACTTTGGGTTTAAGAGTTGCTGGGTGATTGTAGGTGCACAGTGGTCCTGAGGCATTTGGTGATTGTGCACTGAGCAGATCCCTGCGCTCATTAGTGGAATTCCACTCGTCTGTTTGGGAGCAGGTTGCAGTGTAGATGTGTGTCAGCTCCAGGTGGCATTCTGTGTGAAAGAGCTCCACGCAAAAAAAAAAAAAAAGATTGGGTAATACCTCAGCAGAGCAGGCACTCACACATGCACGGCCACATTTGAGACACTGAGGTGCAGCACGTCTGTGTCGTTGCTGTTTTGCCTTCCTCTGTCACACCTTCCTTATCCGCTGGAAGGCAGATTTTACAAATTGTTGCTGAAATACAATTCTGGATTTTGTGGTTTAGTGAGAAATGAGGAACACATTGTACGAAACAAATAGGACTTGACTACGTAGGTCATCAGAGCCAGCCTGTGGTATAGGCAGTATAGGGATGTGCTAAGGGTGCTGTCCATCAAGGAGGCGCCACAAATGATGGATGAAAGAAATTTTTTTTAAAAACTTTTAGTTGATTTAGTCTGTGGAATAATCACTGGTTACTCCATGAAGGACGGTAACTTGTTCTGTTGGTTTCTCAGACTGCTTGTTTACTACATGAGGTTATATGATTATTTGTGATAAAGTATATGATGCAGTGAAGACTTAACTACTGGTGCTCAGTCTGCAAATGGAAAACAAAATAAGCATAATGGAAGTTTTAATTATGATCTTGGATAGAGTTCAGGTTAAAGTCTGGTAAAGTGTTCTACCTTCATAAAATACTGATTTTATGTTTTATTAATCCCAGTGATTAAATAAAATATCTTTTTAAAATGTCTAGAATATGCAGAGTTTTGAGTAGATCTTTTACAAAACTTTCCAGTGGAGTATACCCCTAGGCCCACCCTAGAACAGCATCACTCCACAGCAGCTCGTTAACATGAACAGGTGTTCCTCATTGCTGTCAGCAAATCTTTGCAGGTCTGAGGTAGACTCCTGTTATTCTGTTTCAGATTAATTATATTGTTAACTGTTTTAATTGGACAACCTGGTTTCTAAAAATTAAAAAATAAAATTATTGAACATGGTATGTAAATGGGCAGATATAGAAAACGGCACGGGGGTGCCACCTGAAATTGTGCCTAGGGCACCAAATTGGTTCTGGCTCTTCRGGTTAAAAAATTAGCTACTTTGCTATTAAGCGGAGTTGTCAATGTCTTTCAACAGCTTTTACTGTTGCAATTACTTTCTTTCCTTGTGAAAAGTCAGTTATTTTCAAATGATTTTTCTCCCCTCTATCCAGAACTTGTTGCTGTGTATAAACAGTGCAGGAAATATCAGTGGCAGTCTGCCAACAACTGTGACAAAACCACAGAGAATACAAGAGGAGAAAAAAAAAAAGAATGTAGACGAACTTTGAGGTCAGTTCTTTTGGAAAGCGGGCTATTTTCCTTTAAGCTCAGCTGTGTGGTATTTGTGTATATTAACTTGCAGGATGATATGTGAGAATATTTGAAACCATGAGAATTGCTGTCAGGGTTTGTTTTGTGTGTGTCTCAGTGTACATCTGGCCTTGTGCCACATCATGAGTAAAAGAATGCTAGTGAGCTGTCTAGGTAATTGGGGCTTACCTGACAGGCTTTTGCGCACACACATTTCACACAAAGAATGGATTAGATGACATTAACTACAGGAGGAAACAGCAAAATTGAATACTAGCGCCGCCTGTCTTACTTGTGATTATGTATCCAAGCATGCTCACGTATGACAGTGTAATGAGCGTCCACATAAAATATATGGCTTTTTTTAAGAAGGTAAAAAGCATCGTCTGGTTGAGTTAGTGTGTTTCATATTTCTGTACTCAGGCAGACGCACATCGACGCGATCATATGCAGACGCTTATTTTTAAATTGAATTTGGCTTCAAACTCTTAAAGCTCTGAGATCTTACACTTTAAGTCCCTGAGCAGACTTTCAAATGAAAACTGTGGGCAATTTTACTTTTATCTGCTGAAGAAGAAGTAAAAAAAAACCCAAAGGCACCGCAGAGAAACAGCTTGTCAATAATTACAAAATGTCTGAAGGTATAAATATTTAGTCTGGTTTCAGTCTCTTGAAAGGAAAAGCCATTAACAAAAAGCTCTTTTAAATCTTTTAGGTTTTGTTGCACAAAAATAATCCCTTTTATCCAACTAAAGGTGGGTAGTAACTAGTTATGGTACTTTAGTTATAATACTACATTTACTTGAGCAACCTTTTGGAAAAAATATACTTTTGGGAGTAGTTTTAACTACACCATACTTTTTACTTTACTTGAGTAATATTATGTAGTATCGCTACTCTTACTTGTGTAAAATTTATCCATCGTACGTACCTTCACTGAAAGAACAAACCTGTTTTTAGCAGAAATTCACCAGAGACACAACCTACAGTTTATGTTGAAGTGAGACCTCTTCTTTGTACAAAAGCTTTGTTCTATTTTCTATCTGCTGAGACATTTGGAGGTCAAGTGAATTTATGGTAAATAGTATAAATAGTCACTGGAAGTACACGCACACACACACACACACACACACACACACACACACTACCTAATTTAAGTGAGTTTCATAAGTTTTGTAATGAAAGAAATTTACTTGGAAAAGTGTTTCTTTTGCAGGAATTTGATATTTTGTAATAATGATATTTAATGGTATGAGTTTTCTTCATTTTAATCTTTTAAAAACAGCAGAATTTGCACGTAACTTTCTATTTTTTCATCAGTCTGATGATCAGTTATTCAGCACTCATGCAACCTTTTTACGAAATGTGCAACTAGCGGGTTGCTGGTTCGATGCCCCACTCCACGACTCTTTCTCAGTCGTTGTGTCCTTGGGCAAGACACTTCACCCACCTTGCCTAGTGGTGGTCAGAGGGTCCGGTAGTGTCGGCGCATGGCCTTGCCTCGTTCAATGTGCCCCAGGGCAGCTGTGGCTACAATGCAGCTTACCACCATCAGTGTGTGAATGAATGGGTGAATGATTGAAAAGTCRGGCGTTTTGGAGTCTATAGGGACTTGATAAAGTGCTATATAGGTTCAAACAAAAGAATGGCAGGTCTCTTATGCTTTAATGTTTGCATTTTTAAAAAGGTGCTGGAGCAACAATCGTTTCTGTGTCATTTTGTTCCCTGGTTGGTGGAACATGCATCATATTAAGACGAGATTGAGTTTCTCTCTTTCTCACTCGGATGTTCAACTTGTTATTGTCGGTTTCGGTGTTACCTCAGCTCTTTTGTTTTTGTTTTCCACTGCTGTGACTGTTCTCTGTAATTACAGCAACACTAAAACGTCTTCTTGTAATTGTTTTTATTCGCGTTGGAGATTTTTTTTTTTATAGTCAGAGCTGGTGTCACTGTGACACCGACGAGCTGAGTCAACTGGGTTTCTTTTCCCATCAAACCTCTTGTTTTACATTTGACTAATACAGGGGGGAAATGTGTTTTGAGAGATGAGTTGACATAATCAGAAATGTGCACTGAATTCAAATAATTATCACGCATTAGTTTACATAAAGTGTTTTCTCAGACACTGCTAATATCTGCTCATCCTGAGGCTAWACAAGAAAATAAAATCTGTTCTTGATGAAAATGTTTTTGTTGTTACTTATGTCTAATTCGTTTCCTTTAGTCATTAGTGTTGTTAGACATCAAACACAGCTGCCAGAGCAATGAGAATAAGCAGCAGAGTGGGAATAGAAATGTTCTCATTGCTGTTGGACGCTCACTAAGGAAGCCGTTAACAGTACTTATTTTACCAGAATAGTTTTTTAATGAGCTCTCAAAATGAGCAGTAGGTGTTTTAAATACATTCTGTCAGACTTTGAGACTCTAGACAATAATATTTTTCACTGCAAGAAAAGAGAAATGACACAAACTCAGTCTCATGATGCTTAATTTGCTTCCCAACATTTCACCACCRTGACATTCTGCCATCATTGCATAGGGAGATGCTGTCTGTGTTCTAATGCACGGCCCTGTATCTAACTGCAAGCTAATGCTTTGTGATGCTAATGTTGTGTCAGAGATGGACAGCAAAATGCAAAGGAACTCCTCATCAAACCGAAACTTTGTTTTAATTATTGACTTCTGTGAGACGACTTTGTGTTCCCTGTTTTATTGTTACTTTGGCAGCTTAATAAGGCATAATCGTATTCCCACATTGCTGCTAACTGGCTGCAGCCATTGTTGGCAGCTCTTGTAAACAAAAACATTTTTCCTGGCTCATTATATTGTTTATGTTGTGGGGTAGAAGGTACAATATGAGTGTGCATTCCTTGGCTAAGAACTGAGCACTTACAGGCTGTTTTCTTTTTTGTGGACATCTGTGTTGGCCGGCRAACATTTCCTGACCTTGACCTCGAGTCACACTTTTACTGTTTTTGTTGTTGTCRGACAGCAAAACAGAGGACAGCTTTCAGCATAACTGCCGCTAATGTTTCTCAGAGCCTTCTCAAACTTATTCCATGTGCTCTGTTTTAATAGTCTTAACTCATGTTTTCTCTTCCTCTGGATCTTTTCACAGGATGACAGTGATGGGATCCCGTGGTCGGAAGAAAGGGTGATGCGAAAGGTGCTTTACCTCTCTCTAAAGGAGTTCAGGACTGCACAGAAACGGCAGCTGGATGGCGATGGAACCACAAACCCCAATGGTGAGTTAACATCCATGTCTTAAATGGATGTTTTATTGCATCGTTTTGTGTATATACTTTAACTTGACTGTACACCAGTAAATATCCTGGAATATCAGGGCATGGGAAAGGAATCTCGAAGGTTTTGGGGTTATTTAGAGTCTCCAAGAGGGAAAACAAACTGGCACAAACGAAAATGCTACAAGATGCAATCAGGATACAGATTGATGAGCCACAGGGACACTCCTTATTTTTAGTAAAGCAGTTCAAATATGCCAACCAGCTTAAAGGGCTCGACACACGGGAGGCGACRTCGCTYGCTSTCCATTCATTTCCTATGGAGYCTGTGCRGTGAGGCGACGAATCGCTTGCCCTCCTCCAGCTAAGCGACCGGCGAAAATAGTGCATGTGAAATTTCACGCTCGTACACGTAGACGTGCACACGCGAGCTTGCGACGCGACATAT